CTCAAAAGGGAGATGATAATACCCCCCACCCCCCCCCCAACCCCCGACCCCCGACCCCCGCCAAGCTGCCATATTCGCTGAGACTCTTGAGCCGGGCTCACCAGGGCTCCAGATACTTTGGCTGAGTTATTATTAAGCTGATGGTGGTTGTGACCACGTTTAGTGGCAGTGACAAACCCCAGCCTGTGGGAGTCGACTCCACTAAGAGAGGTGAGCCGGCCCCTGATTCCGGGCAACTGGTGACTAGGGAAGGAGGAGAAGGGGCCGGGCTGGAAGAGAAGAGGGGGCCCAGCCATTTGGGATCGGGGCTCCCCTCTCAGGAAACGGTGGGCACCAGGGACAGGGGCCTACCCTCATCTAAGGGGTATGGGCTGCCTTGGGGTGGGAGGGCACGGGGCCTGTTGATCAGGACCGGGTGGGTCTGGGGATCCCTGGCCCCTGGCCCCTGTCCCCTGGCGGCCGCCGCAGACTCACCTGCTTCAGCGCGCAAGGCTCTGTAGCGCAAGCCCGTTGCCAGGCGACCCGGTTGCCAGGCGACCCTGAGCAGCGTCAGTCACGCAGCTCTTGCACACTCGGCGCCCACCGCGCAGGCGCGAACATCCCCAGGCCAGGGCCGGCAGTAAAGTGGGGGTGGTGATATTTTACAGGGTTACTGTGGGGAACAAAGGCGGCTCAGCTTTGTTCATAGTGCAGAAGGGAAGCGTCTATGTGCGCCTTTCTCTGTACTGGGCACTTGGCGCGCTGTTAATCCTCAGAGTAAACCTGTGAGGTGATAACATTCTCCGTTTTATGGACAGGAACCTCAAAGAGGTTCAGTAGCTTCTGCTGAATCACTCAGGCCTGATCCCAGGACTGCTTAGCCCTGGTCCAGGCTCCTTCCTCGGCAGGCTGACTGGCTGGTGACGACACAGGTCGGCCCCTGCAGTGGACTCAATGCACTGCTGGCCAGAGCAGTTGTTCTTGAAGGCAAGCCAGAGCCAGCCACCACATACACCAAACCCCCCCAGGGCTCCCCACTGGTCTCAGGACAGAGTCCAGACTCAGCCTACCGCTTGAGGCCCTGGGTGATGGCCTCCTCCACACATGCTGGATTCTTTCTTAATCCCCCAAATGGCTAACTCTTTCCTGCAGCGGGGCTGCTTGTCCATTTCTTTGTTCTTCAGGACACAACTTGGTGTACTCGTCCACCAGGAAGCCGACGACCTCCCCAGCTCCAAATTAGCCAGTGATCCTATAGCTTAATGACCGCACTGGCACACTTCCCTCTTCTTATTCTCTACTTGCTTGTCTGTTTCCCCCAGCAGACTTCCCTGAGGGAGGAGGCCACTTTGGTCCTGGTTCCTTGCCTCCCCAGTGCCAGGAATATACCAGGAGGCCTTTCGGTAAGTGTAGAAGTGAATGGTTAATGGATTTGAGTCAAGCTTCATAATCAAAGCACTCTCACCATCTTGTGTGATCCTCACAACAAACCCTTGAAGTACATAGTCAGGTCCATTTTATACCAGAGTAAACTGAGGAGGAAGTTGAGCAACTCAGGGAAGCTCACCCTGAGGCCTGAGCCCTTAGCGGTGAAACTCACTAACAAAGACACCAAGCATCGGCCTCCAGCACATTTAACTCTGAAACGAAGGCAACTGACTTCGATCTGTGTGCCATGGACCCCACTTTGTGATATGGATGTCTGCCCCTACTGCTGTCCCTCAAAGGACCAAGTCGTGAAGGGTCTGTCTAACCTAGAGCATCCTAGCTTTTTTACGAAGGTGGTGTGGAGAGCATTGGGCTGGGATTTAGGAAATCTGCATTCCAAATCTAGTTCTAACTCATGAAGCAAATCCTTTGGAATGTGGGAGCCTTCATTTCCTTGCTTGTGAAATCAGGGAGCTGAATCAAGTAGATTCTCAAAGCTGGGAATTCCAGATCTCTCAGGATTTGGTTACAGAGAGTCTTTTTGTAAAATCGTCCTTCAATTTTCTGTGTTTCAATCTCCTTTTTATTATTTTTGCAAACACACACATAACATTCTATGTAGCATATATGTTAATTTGTGAGACATAAAAATATAATAAGCACCTGTGAATTCACCATTAGAACATTATCAGTGTCTGCATCCCCTTCCCTTGTCCCATACACGGTCCTCCTCTCCAAAGCTACCATCTCATTTCTGTGGTTACCATCTCACAAATGCCTCTGGAAGCCATCTAGCCCCACATGCAACTCTCTGCAAACAGAAACTAGCTCACAGAAGCTCAGTGACTCAGGTCAGCCTTTAAACGTCCATTAATTATGGAAATTAATGTTGCAGCGTGAGCTCTAGGAGCCAAGGCGTATGATATTCAGGCACCATTAGGTTCAGAACTATGCAGATGAAGGTCAGGAAAGGAAGGCGTGTCCATTCATCGTCACTGCAGGGCGATCAAATGCCAGTGCTACAGCAAGAGACTTTTCTTATGCCATGATTGCAGAGAGGAGGAGGTGTCTGTGGGAAAGGTACGAAGCACACCGAAATACATCAGGGCTAACCCAGAAGGGCCGAGACGGGGGATATTATTGTGTTCTCTCTGTTCCAAAATGTTTATTTTCATTTGAATTATTTACCAAATAGGTGATATATGCACATAGAAGAAAATCCAAAAAGTATGAAAGTATAATGTCTCCCTCCCTCCTTGGTCCCCAGCCAACGGATCGTCCTTATCTATGGCAACCACTGTAATCTTTCCATTGATAAACTAAATTTATACGAGTATATACAATTCACTTACCTTTTAATGTAATGGCAGCATACTTCAAACAGTGTTCACCTTGTTTTTGCAAATGCAATATTTGTTCACTCATTTAACATTCACTCCACGCCTGCTTATGTGCAGGCACTGTTTGGCTGATGCAATAAATCGGGTGGACTATACACAAGAACCCCTGCTCTCATTGCGCTCAGTGGAGGGAGACAGACAATCAACATAAACAGCAAGTTATATAATGTGTTAGAAAATGCTAAGCTCCTGGGAGAAATAGAGCAGAATAAGGGGTTGGAAGGATGCGGCAGTTGTAAATAGGATGCCTCATCTAGAGGTGACATCTGAGCAATGTGGCTATCTGGGGACAGAGCCTTCCAGGCCTAGGAGACAGCTGATGCAAGCACCCCGGTGCCTGGCGTGTGGAGGAACAGCAAGGAGGCCAGTGGAGCATGTGTGGGATGGGGCGGGGGGAGGGGGAAGCAGTAGGAGATGAGCTAAGAGAATACATGGGGCAAATCACATGGGGCCTCTTGGGCTATTGTAAAGACTTTATTCATCTGAGAGCGACGAGGAGGCATTGGAGGGTTTGGAGCTGAGGACTGACACGATCTGATCTGTGTTTTAACAAGGGATCCCTGGGGGCTGCTGAACTGGGAATAGGATAGAAGCAAGGGTGGAAGCAGGGAGACCAGTTAAGGGGAGAGAAGATGATGATGGTTGGGACCATGGTGAGATCAGAGGAAGTAGGAGGGAGAGATAAGATACTGGACAAAATTTCAGGGTAGAACCTACAGGATTTACTGATAGATCAGACACTGGATGTGATGGAAAGAAGTCAAGGGATCTTGGAGATCCCTCCCTACCGGGTAACAAGAAAAACACGAAATATTTACATAACAAGAAAAAGATCACATTTGCTATATTATGAAAGTAAGTACTTAAACACGTCACATAATTCCCTCCACGTTTGAACCACCACCCCTCCCCAGCCATGGTGACATCAGGGAGGCCAGGTGCGCAAGTCTCTCCACGGTCAGCCCCGCCCAGGCCCGCCCCTGGAGCCCAGGCCCCACCCCTGGCCGACCTGGCCCGCCCACCAGGCCCCGCCCTTGTTGCCATGGTGATCACCGGCGCTCGGGCCGCGTCCCGGAGTCTCCCGCGAGGCTCTGGTTGCTATGGTGATCGCGGCGCAAGGCGCTGGCGGAACACTTTTGGCTGTGAGCCCCATCCCCGACGTCCCGGATTCGTCAGACGCCCGCCTGTCCCGTGTGGTGCTCGTTGCCATGGTGATCGCGGCCACTGGACCCTCCGGACTAGGCAGCGTCAGGAGCCTCTGCAGCCGCCGCAGGTGAGTCAGCCGCCCCTTCGGACTCACCCTCTCCCGCCCGCGTGATCCCCCGCCCACCTCCCACTGCATAACCTGAAAGCGGCCTGGGCCCCGGGCCTCCTCGTTTCCTGACCGCACACCCCGGGCCCCCAGTGCTGGTCTGGGGAGAGACGGTCCGATGCGGAGGACCACAGGCCTCTCTCAGTCAAGGCCACCCAGTGCGGAGGGGGCGGGAGGGAGAAGGAGCCGGGGCTGTGGAATAGGCGGGAGGGGCCCGGTGCCGGCTGGGGTGGTTCTGGGAAAGGCCTGTGGGTTGAACCCTGAGGGCCCTGCATACCCAGAGCCTTCATCCCTTAAGGGGCAAGAGCGGGGGACCCCTCCCCACTCTACTACCTCTGCCCGGGCTGTGTGCACAGCCTGGCGACTGTGCTCCTTCACTCAGCCCAGAGCTGAGCTCAGGGAGGGGCCACTCCTGGTGGACATCGGGCAGGAGACTCAGGTCTCCTCGACTCCCAGGCCGGGTGGCAGGCCTGGTACCCGCCCCCGTGCCCCAACACACACTGCCTGCAGGTTGGAGAGATGACCCCTGGCATCCTGACATTCCTGACAGAGAAGGAGGCTTGGACCTGTTTTCAAAGCTACTGCAACGTTAGGCATCAACTTTGGGGGAGTCCCCAGGGATTTGCACAGCTCCCTAACTCTCTTCCCCCTTTTGGGGCCACAGGACTCCCAGGAAGGATGAGGTCCTCTGTGATGCCTTTGGGGCCCACTGTGAGCCGGGACCGCGTCATCACCAGCTTCCCTAAGGTAGGGAGGCGTTAGCCAACCCTTGATATGTGTACTGCTCTCTGGACACCATGCCCTCATCCGGCTTTCCCCACCTCACTCACCACTGGAAACAAAGCAGGTGAACCGGGGAGGTCAGTCCCTCACTGACAGACCCCAGGGACTCAGCAGACTTCTTGAGAGGCTTGGCGTTGACTTGCCCAAGGTGGGCCAGCAAGTGAAAGGTGACACCAGGAGGCAGTGTGGCATGGATGTTAAGGGCACAGACTTTGCAGTCAGACTGTCCTGGGTGTGAATCCTGCATGTCATTAAGCTGTGTGACCGCGGGCAAGTTACTCAACCTCTCAGAGCCACTGGTACAGAAGGATAATTCCTCTCATGTTGGGTGTCTGGCTAATGGTAAAAGGGAGCTCCCTTGCCCAAGTGTGGTCACTGTTTTTCTCATTTTAATTATGACACTATCAAACAGCACTCCAGTTTCCTTACACCAAATCCAAAGTCTCACCCCTTACCATTCTGCCTTCTGTCCTTGCTGGAAACTCACAGCTCTCTTCCATCTGTATTAAAATCCATTATTAATCACAGCATGGGATGCAAATCTGCACAGCCTCCCAAGGGGGCAGCGGGATAATGTCTCCCAGCACTGCAGATGCTCAGGGCCAGGCACTGCAGCAATCTGTAAAGTAGAAGGTCAGACACAACATAATGTCCTCGAGAGGGGGCCACTTAGACAGCAAAATGCTGCTTCTTGACACAGACTCGGGGAGGCATGAGCACCTCTCAGGGGCTGATGCACAATGAGAGCCAAAGTAAGTTGTTGAGCACCACGTGTGAGAAAAGGAGCAGGAGAAAAAAAATGCATGTGTTTGCTTCTACGTGCAGGGTATCTGGAAGGATGCTTAAGATCCTGCCGTCAGTGGTTGGTGCTGTGTGCGGGGGGAGAAATCCTCTCTTTTGAGTCTTGAAATCTGTGCCCAGGCCAGTAGGGGAAGGAGGGTAGACTCTGGGTATTTGGGGTCCGCAGTCATTCCTCCTCCCCCTCTCCTGCCTTCCCCCCGACCCCGAGTTCTGTCTCCAACATGCACAGATAAAGCCTCGGTGCCTTAGACCCGTGGACAGTGCCCCCAGGACTTTCCATCTCATCAGAGGCCCAGGCAGCTGCTTCTCTACTGAACTTGACAGTGGTGACTGGGGATGACGGGGACTGGGGTTAAAAAGCCAAAGGAAGGGAAGCGTGATTGGCACAAAACAGTCCAGGTCTCATGGGATGAAGGACCCCAATTACAAAGTGGGATGAGGCTCAGAGAGGTAGGGAGGACTGCCTGAGGTCACACAGCTGGGCGTGGGGGAGCCCAGACTTGACCCAACCGTGGCCGACTCCAGAGCTCTGACGTTTCCCCACCTTGGGAGGCAGGCTAGGGCATCCCTGCTTCCACAGAAGGTGAGATTCTCCCCCAACTGCCTGTGGCGAAGTTCATCCCACACTCCAGGGCCACAGCACTTCAGACCCAAGCAATTCTCGGTCAGATGGGGCCAGTCCTTCCTTCACCCCATGTGCCTCGGTTTCCCTCTGTGCACTTCCTGCCAGCCTTCCCTAGCACACTTCTCCAATCTGTCCCAAGTCCTGGGACCCCTCTACTGACTGCCGTGTCTTGGCCAGCCCCCAGCTTGACACTGAAAAGGAAGTGGACGGAAAAGCAGCCAGCTTTCCCGAGAGGTGGCCACACACCTTCGCGTGGCCGGGGGCCCTGGGCTGAGCGCTCGTCTGCACTGCCCACTTGCTCCTCCAGTGAGCAGACCAAGAGGTGCCGTGAGGGGTGTCCCCACCTTACAGATGAGGACATGGGCTCTGTGAGGTCCCGCCCTCACCCTTGGCCGAGCTCCTTCACCGTCCCTGCTGCCTTGGTCACACAGAGCCGAGAGGGCAGGTGGACCAGGGCAGAGCCACAGGGGCCCTGAAAGACAGAGGGGTGGCCCAGGGACCACAGCAGAGCACAGCAGCCGTCTCCAGCTTGGCCTGCTCCCACATCCTGGCCATGCCCCACACTTAGCCTTGGCCAATCTGACCGCAAAACGTAATGGTCACCTTTCATTTGTTTAATATCATTTTTTCTAATTATAGAACAAACCTGCATTTGATAAGTGTCATGGCATCTTTGCTGATCACTTAGTATGTATGGGCCAGACCAGCTCTGCGCTGGTGGCTTCACAAATATAACCTCGTTTTATGCCCCCAAGTCCCTGAGATTTTCCAGATGCAGAAAATGAAGTTCGGAGACATGAGGCAACTACCCAGGGTCACACAGCGGCTGAGGGTGGACACAGGGGCCCTGCTCTTAGACCACTACCCAGTTCTGCCTTCTGAAAAATATGGAAGAAGAAAGTGCCTTCCAGAACATTTTCCATGCACAGATATGCATATTTTTAAAACAAAAATGGCCTCAGAGATCCATAGAAGGTGTAGGAGGATCTTGGCACTAAAAGGGCCCTTACAGCCCACCCCTCCTCTCACTGGAAGAGGCCCAGAGGGGACAGAGTGTTGATACGCCCGCAGCAAGGGCACAGCTGCCCCCAGCGGGACACTGCTCTCTGGATCCCCACCTGAGCTCCCTGGTGTGTCCTGGTCCCACTGCTCCTCCTCGGGGCTCACAAGACCCTGGAGCCTTGGGAGTCGCTGACAAGGTAGAGGACAGATGTGACAGAGGCTCAGGAAGGAGGGAGCTCTGGGTAGTAAGTCACACCTGCTGCCCGCTTGGCGAGCTTTGCAGGGTGATGTGCCCACCTGTCTGTCTGTCTGTCTTGTTTCCAGTGGTACACGCCCGTCGCCTGCCTGCAGCTCCGGGAGCACTTTCACGGGCAGATCAGCGCCGCCTGCCAGCACGGGAATACGGGGACCGTCGGGTGAGTGCCGGCTTGGCCAGGGGAGGGTGGGGAGGGCCGAGCGCACGTGTGAGTGTGTGGATGCGGGCACCGCCACCCCGTACAGGTCTGAGGAGCATCAGACGTTTATCTGGCTTTACCTGCTGCGCCTGCTGTAGGAACAGCTCCCCACCCCCCTTGGTGAGGCCAGCAGCGAGGCCTGAGCACGGCTGTTCCCTCCAGAAGCATTTCCTGCCCTTCAGGCCTCAGACTTAGTGTTGGGTCCCTGGGGTCTCCTCTGAGTCCCCACCACACCTGCCCCCTCACCCAGATGGAGCGGGTGCCCCCTGCACCATGCTCCTGAACTCCGCGCTGGGTTCCTCGCCAGGCCACACGCAGGAAGGAGAGGCACGTGTGCGCCCCGTCATTGCCTCAGGGCGCCTGGCACTGCGGCACAGGTGTCCTGCCATGGTCACATCTTCTTAGCAAACGGGTGCGGGGTCCTGCTTCCACCATGCATCCGGAGGGGCTCATGGTCTGTTCAGGGAGAAGGCTGAGCTCACAAGTCACATGGGGACAGTGAGGCCAGGATGGCCGAGGTGGCCATGGTCACGGGCTGAGCATGGCGGCAGCTGCTGGGGGAGTGCTGGTTCCACACCAGGGGCTTCCCACCAAGGAGCTCCCAACCCTTCCCCACACTCAGTGCTGGGAGGCCAGGAAACTGGGGCACAGGGGAACCCAGTGGCCCTGCGGCAGCACCTTTACTCCTCCTGAGAAGCAGAGTCAGGGCCACCTGCTCCAGAGCTAGCAGCGCAGGGACTTCCCCGGCGGTCCGGTGGTTAGGACTCTGCGCTTTCACTGCCGGGGCCTGGGTTCGATCCCTGGTCAGGGAACTAAGATCCCGCAAGCCTCATGGGTACGGCCAAAAACAAAACAAAACACCAGACGCGCGCGCACACAAACACACACACACACACACACACACACACACACACACACA